GATGTCTTGTTGTGATTATACAGGGCCTTGGTGAGACCACACCTGGAATACTGTGTGCAGTTTTGGCCTCTTTACCTGAGGAATTATGTTGTTGCTATGGAGGGATTGCAACAAAGGTTTACCAATGGGTTTCTGGGATGATAGGACTGATGTATGATGAGACGTTGAATTGGTTGGGAGATTTGCTGGACTTGAGAAAAATGAGGGAGTATCTTATAGAAGCCTATGAAATTCTAACAGGACTAGACGGAGTAGATGGTGGGGAAAGTCCAGGACCAGGGATAAAGGTACTGTAAGGGTAAATCACTTAGAACTGAGTGAGGAGAAATTTCCTCAGAGTAGTAAGCCTATGGAATTTGCTACCACAGAAACCAGTCAAGGCCAAAACATGGTTTAATTTCAAGAAGGAGTTGTACATAACACTTGGAGCTAAAGGGATGAAAGAATATGGGGGGAAGGGGGAAAGTGGGAACAGCATATTGTGTTTGTTGATCAGCCATGAATGGCAGAGTAAACCTGAAGGGCCAAATGACCTACTCCTGTTCCTATTCTCTATTTTTCTGTAATGCACAAGAGTACAAGTAGGCCATATGGTCCATTGAACAAGATCATGGCTGATCTGATCATACTCAACGCCACTTTTCTGCCTTATCCCCATCACCATTGATTCTCTTTGAAGAAATCTGTCTATCTTAGCTTTGAATAGACTTAATGACCTAACCTCTACAGCAAAGAATTCTATAGATGCACTATCCTCCTAAGTAGAAAATGTTCCTTCTTATCTCTATCCTAACTGGATGACCCTTTACTCTGAGATTATGTCCTCTGGCCCTACACTTTCTCACAAGGGGAAACGTGAACATCCACCCTGTCAGTTCCCTTAAGTATCCCTTCTGTTCCAATAAGGTCTCCTCTCATTCTTCTAAACTCCAAGGAATACAAGCTCAACCTCTGTAACAACTCCTCCCAAGAAGATCCCTCCATGCCTGGAATCAACCTAGTGCACCTTCTCTGGACTTCCTCCAATGTCAGTATTGCCTTTCCATAAGGGGACCGAAATGTTTACAGTATTCCAGGAGATATATTACTTGCTATTTTGCATAAATTGAGGTTATTAAGTAGGTAAGTGTGTGTGTGTGTGTATATCTAACTTTAGTATTTAATATTGCTTGGGAATGAAAAACAGGTGGGGAGGAAGAAGAACCTGCCAATGGTATTTGTTGCCTCATCTGGGACACTTCATACAGGTCAGATGCACTGGATCACAGCTTTGAAGAGCCTCTATGTCAATAGATGCATCACGTTAATGTAAACCACATGTGCCATCACCTTTACATGAAAACTGGCTTTCAAATATTTTTCTCCTGGTCATAGGAGCTCCAGTTTCCATCAGAACCTGATTACCCCTTTATAGCTAAATACACAAGAATTCAGATAGGGACGTGTGTTGTGAAAGTGTTGGTGTACAGAGCTATGGTAATAGACACTGGTATAAAAAAAGTGCATGTTTCTGGTGGCTACATCAAGTTTCCAGGCCTGACTTTTATGTATTTACAACATGCATATGGGCAGCTTTAAGTTGAATGTTTTCTTTCTTTTTCATGTCAGTATCGAAGGAGAATATGTGCCAATGGAGGGAGATGAGGTCTCTTACAAGCTCTGTTCCATTCCTCCCAAAAATGTGAAGGTACAGGCTGTCGAAGTGGTCATCACCCACCAAGCACCAGGAACAAAGCATGAAACATGGTCTGGACATGTCAACTTATAAGAATGGTCAACTGTCCTAACCTTCTATCCAGCATGGAGGTTTAAGTATGAGCAAATATCAGAGTTATGTATTTGAGCAGTAGGCTGAGTGTTTGCAGAATTAAAATAAAACTTTTACAAGGTGTGGTGTTTTAAACATATAAAAGTTATTCATTAAACAATAATTGGTTATCACTCATCCTTTCCATAATTTTTATTAAGGTCTCTGAGCCAGTGAATGTACATATGGGACTTTGTATCAGGGAATCATGCTGTACATTTGTCTCCTCTCTACCTGAAGAATGTGTGCAGAAAATAGTTAAGTCACTCAAACAAGTATATTAAAAGCTGCATTTTCTTATAAGCAGCTGTGAATTGGAAATTTATTTCAAACTGCATTGCCCTACAAACTTATTTAGTTGGCCTTAGTTCCATTTGAATCATTTCCACAGCAAATCGTGCTTGTAATTTATTTGATTTAATCATTTTAAAAAAGTATTTACTCTCTAATATTTTCTACTTAGCTCTGCTGTGGTCTGCATGATCCATTGCTGAAGGCTCATTGTGTCAGCAGGTGATCGGCCTTTGCCAAACCCTCTCCAAACTAGCCAGCAGGAGGTGAAAGAACACTATAGTTTCCCCTCTCTCAATGCAATGTGTATGTGAACTCAACATGATCATGCCTTGTCACTCAGTATTGTCAATGTTCTATAGCGTACAGTAGTTAAAATCTCTGATATTTCAATAAATACAATGCTTTGACAGTTGTACCCATGTTAATCCAACACTGCTAATATCTGGCTGGCTGGGGTCTAACCACCAGCACATAATGTTTTTGATCAGTACAGTTTTAAAGAAAACTGATCATTTTTCCTAAACTTTATTGTGTATTGCATGATTGCGAACACAGGTATGAACTGAGTTACCAACTGTACATAGTATCAAGGTGGCTGTTTACTGCTGTGAAACTTGTATATACCATCTGAGGTTGTTAGTATAAATACACACACACATGTCTTGCAGGGTTTTGGGCTTTAAAGAAAATATGGCACATCCATGACATTCTTATGAGTTTTTATTTTTGTCAACCACATAGAATATTGCAGTAGTTAGTTACTGGGCAACTTTTTTTTTTAAATAGACTCCAACTGTGTTTATAAATGACATGGTAAAAGTAGCTTGACAGATTATTCTTTTGCTTGTACCTTTTCACAAGGCAGTATAAGGTCTTGCAAATTTGTGACTAAAATTGAATTTTTCAGTGCTGTAATATTGTTGCAGTCTTTTAAATCTGACAAGTTTCACCAAGATAATTAATCAAGCAAACCAAGCTTTGTTCAATGTGGTGATTCTCAAACAGATAAGGAATGGGTGGTCAAATTATGGTGAGTGACGGTCTGAGATTGGAAAATATTATTTCCACTTAATGCTCATGTCCATTTAATTCAAAATGGAGGTTGATTTCTTGCATTTATCCGGATAATGAGGCATTTCCTGTCAAATTTGCCTTTTTTTATTCAAAAGTTACCAAAACCTGAACAGTGTAATGAAACATTAAGAAATGAATTTACATTTAAAATTAACGAAATAGATGTGTTGTTTGTAGTGTAAGAGAGGCTTTTAAAGATTTGTGCACAAACGTTACCGTCATGTTGTGGAACCTATTTGAATTTTAAAATATACCACTTTTCTGATTAACCATTACAATTTTGTGTGGCTATTGGTGTCTACTTGAAGATGAAGTTAAAAGTCTATTTCAATAAACTCTTGTCTTTAATTCTCTGCTATATTAAGAGTTGAGGGTTCCAGTAGAGTGATGTGGATTTAAAGATTGTGATTTTTTTTTTCTGCGAGTCTCCCAGTCACTTCCCTTTCTTTTAAACTGCTCTAGGTCAATATTAAGTGTAGAAAATTCTCAATTCATGGGTAGAAGGCAATGAAATATTTGCTTTGCATATGGATTTAAAACCCAAGGTCATTGCTGATACCAGAAAATGTCTGGATCCTGGATGCATGGAGGTATCCTGCATTTCCATTGGAAAATATCAGTGAAGGCAGGATTGGTTGCAACTCTTGTAAAAGGCATCATCTGATGTAAAACAGCCTAATGGTGTTGCTGTGTCTTTTTCAAATATCTTGCTTTTTGTGAAGAATGTTTGTTTTAATTTGGTTTTTCTTCAGTGCCTTAGTCTTTGATAAAACTATTTGGACAAAATAGAAGAAGAATCTATTTTATCCCGTGGCAAAATCAGTCAGCAGTTTATATTTACAAATATGAATATTGCATTGATGTATTGTACTTCAGTTGCGATTCATTAAATTTGAACTAGAAAATTGGAATCTTTGTGTGAACTTTGAGGATCAATGTGCCTTTTGATATTTATGTGTAAACTGCTATTCATGTACATCTGATTAATTAGGGACAAATAAAAGTATTAAATGTTTGAATAAATGACAGAACTTAATTCTTGTATTGATTTAATGTAACCATTTTTTGAACAAAACACCAGGACTTAAATTTATGAATTTTTTTTTGCTGTTGACAATACTTTTTGAATGACATACCCTTTTCAGGCACCAGCAATATCTGATGGTTGTGAAAGCAAGAGAGTCAAAATAAGTCTAAAATTACATTTGGAGAACAGTCATTTCCATACCTGGAGGGATGATTTTACATCAAATCATCAAATTGGGTAAACCAAACACAAAAGGTAGCCATGATAGATAGATGGAGCTGTGTAATCTCAACCCCAATTTCCAATTACTGGACAATGAATTGTACAGACTTAAGCGCATCTATGCAAACTTTTTAAAATGTTGTACTGCATGAATTTCAAAGAGAAAATGTAATCCAGAGCAAAAAAAGTGTGTCATTGACTCAAGCAAGACTAGAAGTATATACATTTCAAAATAGCACATAATCTCTTCTAGTTTGAACCTTTTCATCTGGTTCAATTTATCCATTATAAATATAACTGTCCTTAATTAGTTCTTATTCTAACCACGTTCTTCTTATAACCTTAACTCTGACTTTGACAGTTTAAAATGACATCATGATCACAGCAGACATGGTGAGCTAAAGGGCCTGCTCCTGTGCTGTACTATGTTCTTCTGATTGGAACACAGTTTTCAATCATTTATATTTAAAAATGCAAGTTTTGAAGTCAATGGAACTAGTTGGCAAGACTGAAAAAGCAAATCTTCAAACATTATTCTTAGAACGTTTAAATGATGGCAACAGAACCAGACAGGTATGTTTTTAAGTACAGCATTGATCTTTTTATTTCAAATGTACAATTAAACATGCCAATACTTTATAAAAACAAATTGTGATCTTAAGGATCTGAATGCTTTAGCATTCATTGCAGTGTTAAATTAGTAAATAACTATTCTGGTTACTCAAACATTAGAATCGTAGGCACAGGACCACATTTCATAGTCCATGCCTTGAAGAAAGTCACAGAAGATGAAAAGATGTCTGATAATGACCAACTCCAAATGTAACTCTGGGAGTGGATTTGTCCTTGAACTGGATTTCAAAAAGATGTGACTGTAGCCAGCTTTTTCTGAAATAACTCTGATCACAGCTTTATTGATTTGAGAAAGGTACAACACGCTTTGCAGTGTACATAATCACATCAGGGTGGACATTATCAAATGTGCACAAAAACTTTTGACAAAGAAATTTCAGCCAAGATCTAAAATGGAATGTTGTATGATGTCAAAATAATTAAATGTTAGAAAAGGCAGCATGTTTCACTAGGTGCTTTTTTTAAAAAAAACCTGCATTCAGTTCTAGTTTTGTCATTCCTACCTTTTTGAATTAACAAGCACAAGCAACAGTCATTTAAAATGATTTACCCACAATCTGATAAATACCTATCATTTAAAAAAAAAAGTAGGGTATCCATCTTACTACATATGGCTAGAGGTAGGAAATTAATGTTATTGTATCATGTTCTTCGGTCACTAATATGATTGAGAAATATTGGTCCTGGTACCAATTCTGTGGAAACCCTATTGTTTACCTTCTTGCAATCTAAAAAGCAATTGGTTCACCATTATTCAACAGGTTCAATTGAGGCATTCAAGAGGGCATTGGATTTTTTTCGGATAGTGTTATGCAGGGATATGTCGCAGTTCAGCACTAGGAAATAGAGCCGGTGCAAGGCACAATGGACCAAATAGCCCTCTCCTGCACAGTAGTAATCGTATTTACAGAATAACTGAATTAACAGCCATCCTTGGATTGAAATGTAATGATTCCCAAATAGGGAAATTTATTAATTCAAAGGTAGATGATCATAATTAGATTTTTGGGAAATCAATCATGAATCATTGTGGAAAATTGCAGTTTATAATTAAAAATGAAGATTACACAGCAGATGGTTCTGTAGATGGGCTATGAGCATTATTTCTAAAATCAGAATCTGTGAGAGATAATTAGCAAAATCACTGCAGGGCTGCTACAGTAGGCTCAGTTATATCATACTGCATCCTTGTAAATCTCAGTGACCAGCACAATTGCGGAAAATGCAGAGTATAGGTCCTTGATTGAATCCAAAGTAATAAAATAAAGACTCCACATTAAGGTGCAATTGTTAAGTATCTATTCAAGTTTCTATTTGTGATTTAGCTAACCAGACCATATCAATTTGAAAAAAAAGGAACACCACCTTTCTAGAGTACTATTTGTCAACTGCCTTATTCATTTATGTATAATAAATGAATAATCAGATTCCTGAATATTGTACATTGAGGTAAGCAGTGCAAATATAAACGAATGCTGGAGAAACTCCAGCAGATCTGGCAGCATCTGTGAAGAGAGAAAAAGTTAACATTTCAATCAAGCCCAATATGGCTTTTCTTCAGAACTGAAACTGTCATACTGGAATCGCAACATTGACTCTTTCTTTTCCCATAGATGCTGCCAGACCTGCTAGAGTTTCTCCAGCATTCTCTGTATTTATTTTAGATTTCCAGCATCTGCAGTATTCTGCTTTTATTAGAAGCAGTGCAATTAGCTGAATCATCGTGACAACACCTTTAGTTTCCATTCATCAGTCAGAAAATCTGTTATTTTGAGATTTAATCTTTACTTGTACTTTGAGACCACACTCAAAGCTCGCTCGACAGTTATTCAATACCGCACCGTTTTTTAAAACAAATTAGAAGTTGCATCTGTAATGATAAACAATTTTCAGCATTTTTGCTGAATATTCCAGGAAAAATAAGATTTAATTGGGAGGGGAGAAAAGTTTAATCCAGGTATATTTCTTCAACTAGATGATGTGAACTTGGGAAAAAACAACTATGTTGGAATGCTAATCTCTCAGTGGAAAAACAATTCATCACAGATTCTCCTGGTGTCCTCTGGGGATGTGACAGAATGGCCTATAGTTCTTGGATCACTGAAGATTTCATAGTCATTCCCATCCTACAAAAAATAGATTTAATTTGTTTAGAAAAGAAATAATTACTTAAAACATTTCCAGTCATGGTTGGCACTGATATTTTACAGTGGGTTCCTGAGCTGTTTACAACAAATGCAGGAAATTTACTGGAAGACAAAAACAATGTTTAATGTGGGATTTCCTCCCCTTACCCCCTATTCTCATGGGCTAGGTGCTGACGATGAAGTCACAGGTCTGTGATGGCCTGGTTATATTTACAATCCAGCAAAGTCAAGTTTTGAAAGTTAAGTCTTAAAAAAACATGATATAACTGCACCTACTTTACAGAACCCACATCCTCCTATATTGTGGATGAAGTGGGTGCACACTGAGTTGAACTAGACATCCTACCTGCCATACTGATAATAAGCACCAACAGAAGCATTTAGAACTCACCACTGAATAGCCTTAACTCCCTTTCTGCATATGTAAATAAATAAATGCCCCATTGCTTTTGTATTGAAACAATTATTTTAAGGGAAACCAGCAATATTTAAAGGAACCTCCATCAGCGACTAACAAAAATGCGTTTTAAAAACCATGGAATGAGTTTCAAAGACAGAACCACAAGGAACAGAACAGTACTTTCCAGCTCCAATTAAAACATGACTGCTACTGTTAATCACCCTTCCCAACTTGCTGCAGATATGAGGTTCACAGGTCTCATGTGAACGTAAGTCCAGGGGTCAACGTTTTCCAACACAAGGATTAATCCTTGCACCATATTAATGCTGGGGTTGAGTAAATCGATTGTGGTGCCACCTCCAGATAAGATGGGTGGTTTAACAGCACACACATCTATGGAGCTGTTCATTCTGCCTTCAATCTCCAATAGGAGGGCTTAGAGATCTGAAGGAGTGATTTTTTTTTGCATATTTTCATAGTATGGTGCTATGGGCTGCTGCTGATGTTCTGCATGTTAAAAGTGTGATAAAAAATTGATAATAAATGCAGCAAACTTAAAGTCAGTGATATTCCTTTCTTTCTTGCTATTGAAGTGTACGTGCTGCACACAGTCAGTTCCTTATCCAATTTCTACTGCAATGAGTATGCAATTGAGCTGGCCAAAGATAAGAGCTTCTGGAGGTGATCTACATGCACTTAACAGGGGCCTAACTCACTAAAGAATTTGTTTATTTTTATGAGATGAGTCTATAGCCGTCAATTAAAGATTGAATACAATATTGCAATGAAATTGGGTATTTGTTAAACCATATTTAAAGTACTTTGTACCAGTTGGCCCTCCCTTTTGTTCTCCAGATCATGTCTGCTGCTATATTTCATTTACACTATACTACTTTGAAATGAGCAATAAATGCTGCCCAGTGAGCAAAATCCACATCGCCTAAGTGACTAATTAAGTCTTTTAAGAGAAAGGAGCATCATTTTAGCTTCAAGAACATCAATTTTTGGTGACTTTTGCTTTCTGACTTATGGAGTGGATATTCACAGGGGTGGAAGGTCTACTTCCACACATGCTGTAGAGTTTTAACTCTATGTTGCGCCTTCTTTGGCCCTAGCTGGTCTTTGCCTGGAAATCAGCAGGAGATGGTAGGTCTGGTGGCTGGGAAGAGCACTCTTGTTCCCTCCCAACCCACAAACAATAAATTTACTTACTGAGCTTGTCTTGCCTGGAAAACCAAGGTGTCCAATGTTAAAAGCTGAAAATCACATTCAGTCAGTCTGTCAATTTCATCAAGATATTTAAATGATCCATCCACCTCCCAACAGTAGGTTCACTGTCAAGTCCCTTGCCCCACCTTCACAAATAAATCTGAAAGCATTCAGATTGGGATCAGCATTTCATCCCCAACCTCCCATTTGTGCCCAGATTTTTCCATATGTGCTTACTGGTGAGGTTTTATCACCAAAGAAATGGATGGTCTCATAGTTATCACTCTCCAGAATTCCCAGACAGTATCGCTTATCCCATCCATTTGGAAACACATCAAAACTGATCTGTCCACCTAAAGAAGAGATGAAAACATGTTAGAAATTAGTTATACATTTCCACCTGACAAAGCATTACTGGTGCTAATCCTAAAACCCCATATATTAGAAGTAAAAACAAAATGTATGAAATGTTGACTTTTAAATCTTTAAACCAATTCTGATCATTACTGCCAAGTATGGCTTAAAGTATGATGAAAACATTGACAACAAATGCAGTAAACTTATAAATTTAGCAATATTCCTTTCTTATTTGCTGAAGAAGTGTATGTGCTGCACAAGTTCAGTTCCTTATCCAATCTCTACTACAATGGGTATGCAACTGAGTGCATGTAGACCTGAATCTCGTAGGATTCAATATATAACCAATGGGAATTTCTTCAAAGGCTCTCCCAATCAGCCAAAATTCTGGACAGATGGATAAATTGGACTTCTGAAAATCTTTTGAAGTTATGATAGCTAATCGGTAGACCCCAGAGGCAGTTCCCAGTTACTTGCTTAATGCTGCAGTGAAGCTGGTGTTAGTGTGGAAACAAAACTGATGCAAGTCCAAATAAATCTTCTCGACCGGAATGTTGAAGCCCTAGTGCTTGGTGATTTGAGACCAAGAGCAGAGTTGTAACTTCAGCTGGAGGTTAGGTTTCAAAATTCATTTGTAAATGAATTACAACAAAGTACATAAATGCATCTCATTAAAGTACAAATTACTTCTGTAATGTAGTTCAAATTAATTTTTAACTGGGATTATATTCATTGCTTCTACAACTTGCCACAAAGTTCAAGTTGTAAAAGCTAACTGGTCTTCAATACATCTGCCACTATCTAGATAGTGAAAAGATCACTGATGTCTAACTGATGGATATATAAAATTCAAACCTATTGAACTGCAGTGTGATCTGCAATTTTGTTGAACATACAAAATGAATAACTGAGAAAACAAATTTCTGGAAAAGAATTAGCAGAATTTTCGCTTTTGACAGCTTTTCTGAAAATACAAACATTTTGCCTCACGCCCCCCCACAACACCACACTATTAGAAAAATAATTAAAATTACCTATAGAAAAAGTGAGGCCCTTCCCTGCAAATTCTCTTCGTAAATCAGCCACAAATTTTTCTCTGATCTTTTCTTCCTGTTATGAAATAAAGCACAATTGCAGCCTGTTTCAAAATGGACTCAGTAAGAAATATTCAATTGGATCAAAAGAAGTAATCCAATGTACTGACAACTATAGAGAACAATATGTTTCATGTAACTTGCACTGACAGCTTTGGGGACCCTCTTTAGTTCAAAATTCGCCTCGCTTGATAAATTCAAATTTGACATTTTATTACTCAATAAAATTAAATGGATATTCAAATTGCTCATCTGCAGCTATTTCTTTGGAGTTCAAGATGGTGGCGGAGCAGCAGGGCTGCATGTGGACTCTTGCCCAGGCCTCATCTGCTACCATCAGCTTTATTTTTTTCCTTTTTACTTCTGAAGCTTCTCTTTAATTTTTCTTTTCTTTGGATGGTTAGTTAGCAGCATTGGTGTGGCAGTGAGAGAGGGGCTATATGCAGAGTGATGGTAGCCTTCCAGCAGTCAGGATTGGAGGTGCTGGGGGCGCAGCACCCCATGGCGATTGGAGGCAGGCAGTGGTGGCAGCAAGGGCATCTTCCTTGCATTCAGGGCAGCGGCAGCAAAGCTCCCCCCGTGATCAGAGGCGGCAGCAGTCTGTCCTTGCAGTGCAGCCTGGGACTCCACGTTACCAAAGGCCCAGAGCAGGGACTTCTGGTGTCAGGGGGTGAGTGTGGGTTCAGCAATGGGACTCATTGGTGGTGTCAGTGAGATGGGTCCAGTAGTGAAGAGATGGCACCCAAAGATTGGTGACTCTTATGTTGGTCGGTCCAGTGCAGGTGCTGAAGGAGGGGTGGAGGCGCGGGTGTTGCTGGTGAGCCGGCTCAGGACACATGGTGGATGTGGAAGCGCAAATATAGACTCTCTTTCAGTTGTATCTTGTTACTATTTTATTCTTAAACTACTCAATGGCACCGGATTATGGCAACAGTTGAAGCTTTTCACTGTATTTTACTGTATTATTCACTGTCGAATGCAAGTGACAATATATCATTCAATTCAATATAAAGCATTTACTGACCATTTATAAATGGTCACACATATGAGCATTGAAACTTGAAACAATAATCTGTTAAAACACCATCAAATCTCAATAAATCTACAAAGTAGGGGACAGAGGCTAAATCAGACAAATAGAAAATTCCATATAAGATAACAAGGTGTAGAGCTGGATCAACACAGCAGGCCAAACAGCATCAGAGGAGCAGGAAGGCTGACGTTTCGGGCCTAGACCCTGCTTCAGAAATGGGGGAGGGGAAGGGGGTTCTGAAATAAATAGGGAGAGAGGGGGAGGCAGATAGAAGATGGATAGAGGAAAAGATAGGTGGAGAGGAGACAGACAGGTCAAAGAGGCGGGGAAGGAGCCAGTAAAGGTGAGTGTAGGTGGGGAGTTAGGGAGGGGATAGGTCAGTCCAGGGAGGGCGGACGGGTCAAGGGGGCGGGATGAGGCTAGTAGGTAGGAGATGGGGGTGGGGCTTGAGGTGGGAGGAGGGGATACGTGGGAGGAAGGACAGGTTAGGGAGGCAGGGACAAGCTGGGCTGGTTTTGGGATGCGGTTGGGGGAGGGGAAATTTTGAAGCTTGTGAAGTCCACATTGATACCATTGGGCTGCAGGGTTCCCAAAAGAAATATGAAGTGCTGTTTGTGCAACCTTCGGGTGGCATCGTTGTGGTTTTTATTCAACCATTTCAACTCCCCCTCCCATTCCTCAGACGACATGTCCATCCTGGGCGTCCTGTAGTGCCAGAACGATGCCACCCGAAGATTGCAGGAACAGCACCTCATATTTCGCTTGGGAACCCTGCAGTCCAATGGTATCAATGTGGACTTCACAAGCTTCAAAATCTCCCCTCCCACTACCGCATCCCAAAACCAGCCCAGCTTGTCCCCGCCTCCCTAACCTGTCCTTCCTCCCACGTATCCCCTCCTCCCACCTCAAGCCCCACCCCCATCTCCTACCTACTAGCCTCATCCCGCCCCCTTGACCCGTCCGCCCTCCCTGGACTGACCTATCCCCTCCCCACCTACACTCACCTTTACTGGCTCCGTCCCTGCCTCTTTGACCTGTCTGTCTCCTCTCCACCTATCTTCTCCTCTATCCATCTTCGATCCGCCTCCCCCTCTCTCCCTATTTATTTCAGAACCCCCTTCCCCTCCCCCATTTCTGAAGCAGGGTCTAGGCCCGAAACGTCAGCTTTCCTGCTCCTCTGATGCTGCTTGGCCTGCTGTGTTCATCCAGCTCTACACCTTGTTATCTCAGATTCTCCAGCATCTGCAGCTCCTACTATCTCAGAAAATCCCATATGTCAACTTTATTTCTGTTCTTCAGACAAATTTGTGCAGCTAAATGGATGCTATTTTTATTCAGATAAATTCTTTCTTTAGGTTATTCTTTGAATTTGATTTAGAACATTATTTTCTCAATGAACATAAAATAGTCTTGCAGGAGCAACACACTTGTCTATCCTCAAACAGTGACAAGCCGTTAACATTGTGTAAGTTCTCACCAAGAAGTTCGCAATCCAGAGATCAGAGCTTTGAAGGAACTGCTAAGTACAGAAAAACTTGTGCCTCTCATAGGAGGGTGAACGACAGCAAAAAATAAAGCCATGCAAACTATCTATCTTTCATAATTTAAGTACATCATAACACAGACATGGGAATCGTCTAGTCACTGCAGACTGTTATAAACATAAAAACAAGCCTATTGAACGTACAGATGTAGTGGAGATGAATCTGCAAGCAAACTTAAAGAAAGGGATGTTAGGAAATGATCAGGACTTATACTTTAGTGTCTTTAATAAAGCTGTCTGAAAGTCAGATTTCCAATCCTGCTAAAAGCTGGCAATTTGTGAAAGGCATTACAAATGTCCATGGTTTATTTGTCCTGATTGCAAATAAAGATTTGATTGTTGTTACTGATCTAACTTGCCAATGCTTTCTTTTGTGTACATCACAGTTTTCTATTGCTTGAATGAGATAATGGTTTTTCAGTGTGTTTGCCTAGTAACATGCACATTTGTATTCAAAACTATCGGTACTTACATCACCTTCCATAGGGCATCCCTTCTAATGATATGTATTTTTAAAATATATTAAAATGTCCACTTTCTATTTTGTCAAACAGCAGTAGAAGCACAGTGATTGATAAAAATGTTTGCTTGTTTCTATCAAGAAATACTCCATCTCAAAATAATGTATTGGCCTGGATCTTCTGAGAAGTGGCAATCGCTGTTAGATTACTGTTTGAACATTTCCCTGACATTTCTGCAAAGGCATTGAGAGTCTGGCTTTTCCAGAAACACAGAGTGCAGCCCCTTAGACAGCTGCAGCACAGTGCAGTAGAATCAGGGGTAAAAGAGGGCACGGCCCTTTTACAGCTGTAGCTGCTGTGTGGCAAATTTATTGATCTGATTTGAATGTTAGTGGATGAGTGAATTGTTGGGGGCTGAGGTAATGAGTAAAGTAGGTAAGTAGCAGGTGGGTGAGCTGGTAGTCAGGGGTCAAAGTTAGATGAGCGATTGGGGGTCAGTCTAGCAAAAGGCACAGTGTAGATTCACCAGAATGAAACAGAGCTTAAAAGGTTAAATTATGGGAACTGTTGCATAAACTTGGTTCATATTCCTGTAAGTTCAGAACTTCAGAGTGAAGGATTTAAAATGATAAAGGGATTCAATAGGGTAGATCCAGAACAAAAAAACTATTCACTAAAGAAGAAGTCCAGAAGAAGCAGTTTACAAATTAAGCTTGTTCAAGAATTAAACCAGGAATTTTGTTGCACATAAATGATAGTGGAGATCTGGAACTGAAGAACTTTGGATACTGGGTCACATGACTCTTTTTGTTCAGCAATGACATGAAGGGATAAAGAGATATAAATCAAAAGGTGGGAAAATCAAGCTGAGGCACAGGTTAGTCAACTGAAAGGCAGAATACATTCAAGGGATTAAATGGTTACTCCTGTTGCATTGTAATTCAGCATGTGGACAAATATACTGTTAACCTTACAGGTCAGCAAATTATAGAAAAGGTACATTAACCAGACCACAGAGTACAAAGTCCAGTTACTGCAAGCTTCTGAACCATGAAGAGAAATGGTTCTTCAGAAAAAACACAAACGTGAAAAAATTTAGCTGATGTGTTCCAATCCAACGTTTGGACCAGGGGCAAAAAAAAACTTCTAAACCAAACACCTAATAAAGGAAGGGTCATTGGACCCGAAATGTTAACTCTGATTGTTTTCTTCACAGATGCTGCCAGACCTGCTGAGCTTTTTCAGTAACTTCTGTTTTTGTTCCCGATTTACAGCATCTGCAGTTCTTTCGGTTTTTAATAGATTATCACTGCTTGCTGCAATGCTTGGGCACCAATATTACTGGTAAACAAGAAATTGAAAAATGATCTTTAATGCTGATAATGCTGATAACTGTTGTGCTCTGGGTTTCAACTGCAATGGATGCTTTAAAGAACTTATTAATAAACAGAAACAGCTGAAAGTACTGTACAAACACTGCAGACTTTCATTGTACTGTACTGTTCTACAGCACCACCATGTGGCAATGACTAGATACTGTACTATAATGTTACATTTTCATTATGATGAGGAGGAGTTCTGGCTTGCAGAAAATTACATGACAGACAAATCATAGCCTTTGAATCTTGAATCCTATTTAGCCCACCTTCGTTATTCCATCCAGAAAGATACTATAGTTCTCCCTGCAGTTTCACCTCCACTACATCTGTACGTTCAATAGGTTTTTGTGAAACATTCCGAACCACAGATTTAAGTATATCTTTTACAATGTGAATCTGTGCTGTCTTGACTGATTATGACTTGGTTTCAAGTCATACATTTATCCTTTTTGTATATTTTAATAATGCTACAAGGTCATTACATTTGAAGGCCAAAAAGATCAGGTTTCAGCAATATTTCTTTACAACTTAGCTCTCTGATGTGCTGTTAAGGTCCTGTGGTCATGTCCCTACCCCTCAGCCAGGGGTCCTGGGTTAAAATCTCACCTGTTTCAGAGGTAAATCTATATAGGTTAATTACAAATATATCTAGTTCTCTGACATTCAGCTATTCTCAGAAACACCTCCAGGCTGAATCCCTCCCTTCCACGGGGTGACCAGAATGAATGCATCACCCAGGAGGGATCTGATCAGAACATGACTCAGTTTGAACATGATCTGTCTCTCCATTACCAGCAATATAGTTCTGCGTTCTATTTGTTTTGTTGCTTGATGCTGTATCATGATTGGCCGTGTGAGCTTTAGATCTTGCTCAATTCATTCTTGGGTGTTTTGACAGCATTTATTGAAGACATGTCTTCAACTGTTTACTGTACATGGATGTAACCATTTTGGATTTTAATAATGGGATGATTAGCTATAAAATAATTTATTCAAAATATGTTAATGAATTAGCTTTGTATATTTCAAATATAACTTTCCATTTGGCAATTTGCACGTTATTAAGGTACAATAGACTAAAAATGGTAATTCCCATGGAATACTTTTAAGCCTGGATGTCTGCGGGAAGATTTCAAAGGGTCCACCAAAATATGACATCTTGCCAAACAAGCAAAAATTAATGCAAATCAAAACAAAATTAAATCAAAAATATTCTATTCCCAAAGCATCCTGCAACTTACTACTGTGTGCCAACCAGAGTACACTTAAGTGGAATTAGATGAAAGGAGCCCACATATAGTACACCATAAATATTATATCATATTAGCATTTCAGAGCTAAACTTGCAGGTCTTGCATAGTACGTGGAGGCAAGTTAAAATTTTGGGAGTAAACAATAAAGACTAGAATTGTATGTCCAGGCTAATCTTAATAGCATTGTAAGCACTTAGCATCTTTTTTTCACCATTTTGGCCAAGAGAAACCCTGCAGTTTTTAAACCAGCACCTCAATCTGAAATTATTTTCGTTTGGTGAAGATCAACTGGCTGTCCTCAAGTTTGTTTTCTAAATCTCATCAGTTATCAGCAAGTTAAACATTTTTTCCAATGAACCCACTTTGTCAAGTTCGAAGAATTCAATACGTTCTTCTTGGCTGCAATTTCGACCGATTGGACTGATGTTCAGCATTCCATTACGGAATTCAATGAATGTGCCTCTGTGAAAGAAATATAGCATCATTAAATCACTAACCACCACTAATACTTAAATTATTGTAAGTTTTGAATTGTATAGCCCACAAAAATAGTTGTATTGCAAATATCAATTCATTGGCCAGGATGTACTTAAGCACTTTAAAAACCCCTATGATTAATATATTGAATAAATTTTAAAAAGACTTCTAATATAATCTATTTAGGAAATGTATTCTTAGAAGATTGGTGTATTACAAAATCATTTGACGAAAGGACTTAAAAAGAACTGCATGCACTGAAAACAGCACTGAAGTGTGCAGACCAAGAAGCAAAAATGAACATCTATCTCATGGCATGGTGAAAGACAGTAGGTTAGGGACAGAGGGGGAGTGTTCAGGCTTCTTGGGCACTGGACAAAAATGAACTATATTAAAGAGAAGGCCCAAAGGAGGTTGATTCGCATTGTGGGAGAAGATGGAACTAATATCACACTGGATTGGATAAAGGAAGAGATTTGGTTGCTTGGAACAAAAAGTTATGTCCAATTAAAACTGTAAATGGCTATGTAGTTAAATAGAATGTGATAATAAAAATGGGTCAGGATTTAAGAAGGGTGAATAAATTGTCCAATAAGTCAATCCAAACTGAAGTTTACCAAAATTCAAAATTAGGGAACTGGACTCCGATTAAAATAGAAAATCATAACATAACAATAATTACAGAATCATAATTACTGCTAGGTCAGGATTAGCAATGAAATATTCCAGGTTATAAAATGTTCAGCAAGGACACAGAACATTCAGACACTAACTATAGCATAAAATATGTAAAAGAAATGATTCCAGAAGTATTAATTTGGACTGAACTGAAAAATTGCGAGGACTTAGTCACATTAAATAAATTATAAATTGCTGGTGAAGAAGACAAGGATATTATTTTTGGACAAGTTAGAAAGCATGTATTTACAAAATGTACAATTTATTAGGCTTTTAATTATTCTATTACAGTGAGGTTGGAGAAGAAAGGAAAAAGCATTTTTGCAGTCTTTGTGCCTGTCTTCTCCATCAGTATGTTGATACTTTAACAAGGAAGGAAGCACTACTTGTACTGCTTCCAGATAATTAAGCAGAGTTAACAGGTAACCAAAATTAACAGAACATCTGAATCACTGGTTACAATATGTTTTTGCTCAGAAAATTCTAGGATAAGTGTTATAATAGTATAATTTACAGTGTTCAACAGTAACAATTCACAGTTTAAATGTAAGGAAACATTTTCAATATGACTGCAGATCAGAAATTGGAATAGAAAGGGATAGAGAGGAAAGAAATATAATTAAATATATTCCAGTAGGGGATAAAAGTGATTTTTGAAGGTTGGGATTCTCTGGATACATAGAGAGATTAGATTGGATTGGATTTCAAACTTAAAAAAGAACTTACCACTTGAAAGGACTATTTAAAAAAGAAAAATATAAATGGGGAAAACCTCCATAAAGGGAGACGAGGAAAGCTAATATGAATGTAAATTAATCCTTAATGGGTGATAAAATCACCATTGCTAAGCACATCAGTCAATAAACAAGGAAGACATATGTGACTGAGAGATTATGGTGACAAGGTTGTAATCGACAGGGAGGGCTTACCAGAAACAATAAATAAGTATGATCTGTCCGAATTTGCAGGTTAGTATGATGCCATATGGTATAAAGGAAGTAAGTCAAAATTAAATGAGATAAATTTCACTGGATACTGTCAAACACAACCCATTCTTAAATTAAGCAGAATAAGGCTGAACATAGAGGCCAACAAAAGATTTGCAACAACGTCCAGTTTTTACCCATTATGTTCTGATTATTACTTCTCTTTAATTCATTAGGATTCATTCGAAAACATTGTCAACAAAGTTAACAATAAAAATGTAAGAATTATTGTGTAGAACAGTCGAAATAATGTTGCTCAAAGATGATGATCCAAACTATGGAGAAAGAGGTTATTCTAGATAAGATTTTTACCTTTTTTTAGGCAGCTTAATCTTGGCCATATAATTTAGACAGTAATTGATCAGGTCTTGCAGGATATCCTCACCAATATAGCTCTGGATGGTCTAAAAATCATGACATATGAAACAAAAATACTAGTGAAGTATATTTCATATCATGTACAAAAACAATGGGCTAGATTCAAAGTACCTGGGTGGGTTGAGGCCTGGTAGTACATGGGAAGCAAGTGAAGTGCATTTGGTCAGTAGCTTATAAACCCACCCTATTGCATTACCATTGGATCACAAAACCTGGAAACAATTATCCTGTGTAGAAGTGATAAGGACCCACAAGTTGATTCCAACTCCAGTAATTAAATAGACATTGCAAACATGCAATATGATGTAGTTTGGAGTTGAGAGCACAACTGAAGGAATTGGCAGAATGGAGTTCGGATGCAGCTCACTTTAGTGATGATGTTTGTGAAGCTGCAAGTTGTTAATGGCCCACTTAGGCCCCAGAGAGATACACTTTCCCTCTGACTGGTGGAAAAATTCCGGTGAATCATGAAATATATTGTTGATGGTTGCCCATGAATTCAACGCTGAAATCCGTTTAACGACATATGTAGGGCAGAAAAGTGCCATATTTAACTACATCCTGATGTAGTTATCCCCCAAACCGCTCTCACTCTACCTTCTCAAACCTACTCCAGCACATCATTCATCCTTTCTCACATCCCCAACGGTCCACTCAATCTCATCCTTATCCAATGTCACACTTCTCCTTCATTATCATTCTCAACAAATGCTTCCCATCCATCCATCTGTCAACAAATGCCATTACTCTTACTCATGGGCCATTATCCCTTGTAAGAGAAGGAAGCACAGAACATATACAAGATGTACAGATTCCAAGGGGGCTCTCTATCAATCCCTCAACTGACAACTGCTGGGAAGGCCAGACAGTAGCAGAGCCTCAGCACACTTAGCTTCAGAAATAGAGGCTTCAATGCCAACAGAATTAAATCAAAGGCAGCCACCAGACAAAGAACACTCACTCATGTTGACTTGACGTCAGTAGCCAGTGACCAAGTGAATAATGATCACTTAAAACATTCTTACCCTGACAGTTCTATTTCATGCTTTGAATCTCTGATAGGACCTGCAAACATCGTCAAATAGTTGAGCAGGGGAAGGACGACAACTTCTGAGGAGGTCATTCCCTCTGAATAGATAAAGTCACAGGACTCATGCAAAGCATTCACTTGGTGATTCACTTTTTCCAAGTGCCCATGATCAGATGAAGGAGACGAGAACAGCATGGAGTCCATGTCAGAGACTGCCTGGTCCTCAGAGTTCTGTTCAGTTGGAAGAACCTGCTCAGGTCAGGGACTGAGACAACAGAATACTTCTGGAACATCGGCAATGATGTGTGATTTATAGCTGCATTGTGCACAATTGCAGAGATATTAGAGGAATCCCAAACATGAATGGCATGATGTTGCAGGCCTTTACAATGCTAAAAGTAGCCATCTGTGTGGAGTATCAGACCTGGCAATCAAATGAGCACATGCTGATTTCCATGATTCACACATTCCAAACCTGTCCTGAAACAAAATAAAAGATACCCTAATCTGAACCGACCCCCCCACCCCCCTCCCCCCCCCTCAAAAAAAGAGCTCTCCAGTCCATTTCTAGTAAGCAGTTATGGGTGGGCCATAAGAGAAATGATTGTTCAATGGAACAAGGAAGTAGGGGCTCAATTCAAAGCTCTTCCACTTCGACTCATTCCTCCAACTCAGTTAACACCCTGAATGCTGCTTTGTCTTCCAAAGGCCAAATCTGTCCCTGCAGATGAGAAGATGCAGCAGTCTTTGTCTGATACCTCATGGTTTCAAAATTCAGCAAATGACATGGAGGTCCATCAATTTTTTTAAAATTCATTCACGCGATGAGGGCGTCACTGGCTAGGCTAGCATTTACTGCCCATCCCCAATTGCCCATAGGATAGTTAGAAATCAACCACATTGCTGTGGGTCTGGAGTCACATGTATGCCATACCAGGTAAGGGAGGCTGTTTCCTTCCCTAAAGGACATTAGTGAACCAGATGGGCTTTACCCCAACAATCAACAATGGTTTCATGGTCATCATTAGACTCTTAATTCCAGATCTTTATTGAATTCAAATTCCACCATCTGCCATGGCGAGATTCAAACCCGGGTCCCCAGAACATTACCTGGGTCTCTGGATTAATAGTTCAGCGATAATACCATTAGGCCATCACCTTCCCGTATGTCTCCAGCAGAGACCTAGAAGGAAGGATCCAGAGACAAAGAAGTGGAGGACGTTGATAACACTCAGTCAGTAGTAAAGTTTGGTCACCTAGTCCACTTAGCAGCAAGATTTTTTCCCCCAGCATTTGTTTCTACAAATCTTAGATGAGAGCCTAGATCTACTGAGATATTTTTGTGCCAACAGAGGTAGCTTATCCTCTGCCTTCAGACCTACTAAATAGTTATGGCCTCTTACAAGTTATGCCTTTCTAACTTTCTCTCTCCCATGGAGCTGCACATCTACCAGCAATTGCTCCTCTTGCTGTTAGTGCTGCTCATCTTGATCCTCATTTCAGGTCCACGGTAATACAGCATAAGCCAAACTCTGATGCTAATCTAAAGGACCTGCAAACATATCCATGCAAATCTCCAAAGTCAACAAAAATCACCCCTCAGCACAAGTATTGTCAGCAAAGCCTTTGATACAATCATGCAGGAGAGCACTTGCGAGGATTCACGATTTACTAGCATATTTCCCTGACATTTGTTTTGAATCGTAGAATCCCTACAGGGTGGAAGCAGGCCATTCAGTTCATTGAGTCCACACCAACCTTCTGAAGAACATCCCACCCAGACCCATCCCCCCGATCCTGGCCCTGTAACCATGGCTAATCCACTTAACGTAGACATCCTGGACACCATGGGCAATTTAGCATGGCCAATTCACTTAACTGATTTAACTGTTGTTGCATTCTAACCTTGCTTTCATTGGCAAGTTCTGGGAAACCATCGGAACGCTAGTAAAACTGCAAAAGCCTTTTAATATTGCTGTAATTGATCTGCTGGCATACTGAAATTGACACCCCACCTCTTCTAAGGACATCGCATACAGAAAGCCTAACATGTTGCAGTTAAAATTTCAAGTCAGCAGGTGGGGATGGCTTCTTCATGCACTGTCAATTTCCATGCATTTAGTCCCTCATCCACTACTGCAAATTAGAATTCAACTCAATTCTTCCATATGACATTTGACAAAATCCTTGTTTCCTGGTAAGCAGGTCCCTAATGTTAGCACAGTTTTAAACATGGTATAACAGTGTAGCAAATATATCCAGCATTACAATTCGCTATTTCCAAAGTTATCAGTGCATTATGTAAGCCATGTGTGTATGAATTGTCTCCTAATTTGATTTGCATTCGGTTAGAAGAAAAACCTGTAGGTTGCCCAGGACAGTAAAAATTCTGTTGTTTAGCACACAGCAGAGATACGTCATGCTGAGTAAACAAAGAAATGACAGTTAAAGGGTTTGTTGAGAGTCCCTTATTTACCACTTGATTCATATCACTGGCATTTTAAGATGTCCAGGGAAGGTCAGAAGTTTCCTAACAAGTGAAAGATAAAGCAGATTGCTCTGTAAAATTCCTCTACATTAAAAGGGCAGGGATGCACCCACGCAAGTCAGAAGTATTCCAGATTCTCCAGAATCCTAAGGATACTTCACAAATCTGTTGCTCAATCCGGTTTTCTATATTTCACATTTTTACAATCTGAACTATTACCTGTTCATCATCCTCTGATCCTGAGAAGTCAATAATTCGTTCATTAGAGCTCAGTTATCTTGCTCCAAACAGAACGTTCTCCTGTCACTGGCTTCTTAGTCAAACTCAAAGAAGCTGATGTTCTTGGATGGCAAGCTGTGTCAGCGTGGGATCATTCCCAATCATTAATGGACAGGGGTTTAAGAGCAGACAGGTGTTAGTTTCACTTGTTAGGAAGCTTTCAACCTTTCGTGGGGCAAGTGTGAGGTTATACACTTTGGTAGGAAGTATAGATGCATAGACTATTTCCTAAATGGGGAAAAGCTTTGTAAATCTGAAGCACAAAGGGACTTATCAGTCCTAGTTTAAGGTTTACATACAGATTCAGTTGGAAGTTGGCAAGACAAGTGCAATGCAGCAATCATTTCAAAAGGGCTAGAATCCAAGAGCAGGAGATGTACCACTGAGGCTGTGTAAGGCTCTGTTCAGATCACATTTGGAATATCATGAGTAGTTTTGGGTCCTGCTTCAAAGGAAGGATGGCTGGCATTGGAGGGGTCCCAGAGGAGGTTTACAAGAATGAAACCAGGGATGAAAGGCTTGTCATGTGAGGAGCAGTTGAGAACTCTGGGTATGTAGTCGATAGAGTTTAGGAGGATGATAGGGGATCTGATTGAAACTTACTCAATACTGAGAGGATAGAGTGGACATGGTGAAGATGTTTCCACTAGTAGGAGAGACTAGGACCTGAGGGCACAGCCTCACAGTGAAGGGATGAGCCTTTAGGACTGAGATGAGGAGGAATTTCTTCAGCCTAAGGATGATTAATCTGTGAAACTCATTGCTACAGAAGGCTGTGGAGACCAAGTCATTGAGGCTATTTAAAACAGCGATACATAGGTCCTTGATTAGTAAGGGAATCAAGGATTACAGGGAGAATGGGGTTGAGAAACGTTTCAGCCTTGAATGAATGATGGAACAGACTCAATGGGCCGAATGGCTTAATTCTGCTCCCACATCTTACGGTCTTGTAACGTTTTAAAAGTTCCAGAGATGTGAATCAAGTAGTGAGTAAGAGACACTCAAGAAATCTCTTTAAATGGCATTTTTGTTTAGCCAACATTGGGCGGGTTCTTGTTTGGAGCCCATGATCGCTGTCTTTAACCACTTAAATATCATTCTAATTTAGTTATGGAGTTAAATAACAGCACTATTCAGTGGAATTCAAATATTTTTTGCACAACTCATGTAAGCTGTGTTTCAGAAGTCGAGGGGCATTCGTTTTTGTTAAAAAGACACAGCAGACTCCAGGAATTGTAGTACCAGAGAATTCCATATAATACCATGCCAGATAGTTCAAATTTTGCTTTACATTGATGATTTGTACTCAGGGAATATAATGAATTAAAAAAAAGAGAATGGGACAAATGTACTTTGATCAGCAACAAAAATAATATTGGCATTCAAGAAGGTGTGCGATTAAGTGATCTATTAAAATAGGACAAACATTGAAGTTTCATAACTGATGTTTCAAAAATGTATATAAATTATATGCAGTTAAATTTCTAGCTGATCAGAAGTGCTGGGTGCATAAACTGCTGCTGCACATTTTCAGCTGAATGCTGTGTACATACATTTTCTAGTGTTGTGTCAGTGCGACAGATAAAACAAACCCCTTTTACATTTCTCTATTTGAGAGGAGGATTGGGATAAGCTAGTTCAACAAATCAAAAATATGTATTTCCACATATTAATAATAAAAAGGGGATTATTTCCCCCTTAACACATGCAGGTGAATTTCAGTATTGGGAAAACTTACCTGTTTAGCAAAAAACTTGCCAGCTTTATATGCAACTAAGCCATTTTCAGCAAATACATAATCGACTTTGCAAACAACTGAAAGGAAAATAGAACAGACATTTTAGAATACGATACATCTGAGACACTCATTTTTCTGAAGCCGTAAATGCAATGAATCTACGTATAGACCACCAATTAACTTAAATTTCATAGTTTGCTCCATTTGTTGACTCAACTCTTAACAGCAAACCACCTACTGACCAGTGACTTAAAGCTGAAATCCAAGAAATTAGACAGTAACATACAACTGCAAATTAAATCACTTTAATTGAGTCTTGTAGACGGTTTAAGTTGTTGGTTTACAAAGATGCACGGCAGATCAAGCAGTTGTTCAAAGACACATACAGACATTTCAGCGTAGTGGTCACTAGTAAGTAATGAGATATAGGAAATTTTTGATAATGCTGCCTCCCGAACCCAGGGGAATGAAAGCCAATTACATCACTAACCCCATAACAGCAACAAAAGATTGATTGTATATACTGAAAATACCTTTTGTTGTATATACATATCTAGGAATAGAAATAGAAATAAACTGTGGAGACATCCTGTTGAGTGCTGTTAGCATAAACTGGGTTGGGTATGGCAAAGTTGGTAATCCATCTATTCAGGTTTGATTTGTCTCATGGTTGGCAGCCAATCTCTATTCCAGTTTTGCCAAGAGTTAGAAACGAGGTCCTTTTTATGCTCAGACAGATCAGCTTCAGGAAAACAAAAATGCTGATTTCCACATGGGTCTTGTGATGCAGTGACAGTGTCTGTATGGCTGAGCAAGGAATCTCGGATGTAAGTCCCACTTGTTCAAGAGATGTGTAATAACTCTGAATTGGTAGGTTTGAAAATACAAAAAAGATCCAAGTTCGAGGAGAGACAGTGGCTTAGCAGTCATGTTACTGGACTTTTAATACAGAACTAATGCTCCTCAAATTAATGCTCTGGGAACTGGAGTTTGAATCCCATCATGGCAAATGGTGAAATCAGAATTCAATAAAAATCTGAAAAGGTAGCCTAATGGCAACCATGTAACCATATTGATTATCATGAAACCTATTTGGCTCACTAGTATCCTTGTTAATTATTTATTTAATTGGGAAGACAGGTGATGTGGTGTTAACAGATGAGTTCTTAAAAAAGTATAAAAAAAGCCGTGTTCTTCAAAAGCCAACATCCTCAAAGCATTTAGAGGGAGGTGGGCACCATCCGGGTTGGAATGCATTATTTGCCTCTTCAACTCCATTTTTATGTAATCCTCTCCTTCTCTTCCTACTTTTCCCTATTTTTGTTATTGCTGCACTGCCAAAAAATAGGGTTAGGAAGGTAAAATTATTGGATCTTAAATGCAGTGTTTTCAGAATAAAATAAATAAAGTAATGCCACAAATGGAGTCTGATGAACATGATCTTCAGACCATTATGGAGAAGCAGAGCTGGGAGCTAAACATTCAGGGTTATGTGAGTTTTTGAAAGGACAGCCAGGGAGGAAAGGGTGGTGGAATAAGGTAAACTGAGCAAGTATTTTAAAAACTGACAATAAAAGCTTCTGTAAAGATATAAAAAGAAAGAGAGAAGCTGAAGTGAACATAGGTCCCTCCAAGAATGAGGCTGTGGAAATAATAATGAGAAACCAGGAGCTAGCAGAAGATCTCTGATACCTAAAATACTAAATAAGCAAGGGGGTAAAGGTGGAGAGGAAATAAATACAATATCTAATAGCTACAGAAAATGTACTAGGGAAACTAATGGGACTAAAGGCTAATTAGTCTTGATGAACTGCATCCTATTAAAGGAAGTAGCTGCAGACATAGTGGGTGCATTAGTACTAATCTTCTAGGAATCTTTAAGATTCCAGAAAAGTTCCAGAGGATTGGAAAACTCCCAATGTAACACCCTATTCAGAAAGTAGGAAACAAAAACAAAATAATTATAGGCCAGTGAGCTTCTCCTCTGTCATTGGTAAAGGTTTAGGATGTAATAGCACAGCATTTAAAAATATGTAATATAATCAAGTAGAGCCAGTTCGGCTTCATGAAGTGGAAATTATGCCTGACAAATTTCTTAGAAGTCTTTGAAGAGGTAGCAAGCAGGATAAAGGAGAACCAGTAAATGTAATATTTGGATTTCCAAGAGGGCTTTGATAAGGTACCATACACAATGTTGCTTAATAAGAAAAGAGCTCATGGGTTGGGTGTACTAAATTGGCATGGACAGAGGATTGGCTAATTAATAGAAGGCAAAGAGTTGGAATAAAAGAATCATTTTTAGGATGCCAGATCATAACTACTGGAGTGTCACATAGGTGCTGGGGCCACAATCATTTACTATATATATATTTATGTATTAGTAATTTGGATGAAGGAAGTGAATGTACTAAGATTGTGGATGACACAAAAATAAGTAGGAAGACAAGCGGTGAGGATGACTCAGAATCCAAAGAGAGGTACAGACAGGTAAAATGAGTAGGCAAAAATTGGCATGTGGAATATAATTTGGGAAAATGTACAGTTATGCACTTGAGCAGGAATACAGGACTTGAGTATTATTTAAATGGAGAAGGGTTGCAGAAATCTGCAGCATGGAAGCTGCTACCACGCAAGTTCAGCAGGGAACAGAGGCAAATTGAATGTTGGCTTTTAATTCAAATGGAATGAAGTATAAAAACAGGGAAATCTTGCTAAAATTATAAAGGCACTAGTTAGACCACACCTAGAATCCTGCAAACAATTTTGATCCTCTTTTCTTAAAAAAAGATATACTGGCATTGGAGGCAGTCCAGAGAAGGTTTATGAGATTGATCTCAGGCATGGAAGAAATTTCTTGTGAGGACAGGTTAAGCCTACACTTATTGGAATTTAGAAGAATGAGAGGTGACTTTGTTGAAACATACAAGTTTCTTAGGGGGTTTCACAGGGTAAATGCAGAGAGTTATTTTCCCGTGGGGGAAGGGTTTAGGATCATAGAGCATAAATGGGCCGAATGGCCTGGTTCCACACTGTAGGGATTCTATGGTTCTATAAGCAGAAACATGTTTAAGTCAGATGAGGAGGAATTTTTTCTCTTAGAGGGTAGTGAATATGTGGAATTCTTTGCTGCAGAGGGCTGTACAGACTGGGTTGTTAAGTATGGCCAAAGCATAGATAGATTTTTAATCAGTAAGAGAAAAGGGGAAAAGGTGGGAATTGGAGTTGAGGATTATCAGATCACCCATCTCACTGAATAGCAGAGTAGTCTTGATGGCTGAATGGCCTACTTCTGCTCCCAGATCTTACGGTCTTGTAGCCTCTTTATTTCTGCTCAAGTTTCACTGCTGATCAAATCACAACTTTGGTAGGGTAACTGGGCAACCCCAAACCTTCAGCTTCTCTGTATCCTAAAGTAAACTTCAAATTTGGAAAAGAAGGGTATGGGTTCGTCTCTTGATATTAATCTTTCAACTTGGTATATCATATCAAGACTAATGAGTATTGACATCTTACATGAGATATTTCAAGTGTGGATCCTGAGAGTTACCATGACTACAATGGTGAGTTAGTATTCTTTGTAGATCATGTTTCTTTATCTTTGATTCAGTTATTTATGAGATATATGATGTGTGTTATTGAGAACCATTGTTTAGTGAGCTCACATTATTGGACTAAAATTGTGTAAACTTTGTTCCCATCGAACTCCACAACAAAGTAATACACAGCCTCTGGGAGAAGCAAGTCTCACATGACTTGGGGCTGTATATCTATTTTGGATGTCTCCACATATTTTAATTCTAGCCAAAGTTAATTTAGATATTGATAAGTATAAAATGCCCTTATTGAACAACAGCTTCTTTTAAAGATAAAGAGGTTGTCTTTTTGAGAAAGTCACGAGGAGGGTTGTCAGCAATGTTCCCTTGAAGCGTACGCCGACTGATGTACCATTGCATTCGGAGGTCTGCACAGTCACTGGAGAAATTAGAGGAAACACAAGCTGCCAATCTTTGCAATTCTGTTCCACAGAGAGCCATAGAGGTTAAACATGTTGAAGGCCAGGTTAGAGAAATTAGGATTAACAATGGAATTAAAGGTAATGGGGGTAGGCAAGAAAATAGTGTTGAGATTGCAACAAAATCAGCCACTTCATCTAATGTCAGAGAAGGCTCGACCAAGCTGAATAGACTCCTCCTATTTCTTATAACCACATTCACATTTTAACCTCTGTAACGTAAATCCAGATAACACAGAACCTTTCATAAGCAGAACTGTAGTTTTGAGGCAGATAGTACAAACTGGGCTCTGACCAATTGGAAACTGTGCGCTGAATAAATACAGCATGGGGCTATTGCTATGTCCGTGTGCCAGGGTGTTTTCACTTGCAAATGGACCATGCCTCCAAATGTCGTAGTTACTGATTGGTACACTGTAAACCTAGCTGCCGGAATTGCCACGTTGTCTTTGCTGTTCTGATTGGTTATATCAGCACACTGCCTTCACTATCATTCAGGGGGGAAAGCTTTCGGTTTTGCACAAGGCAGACAGATTTATTTTCAAAATCGAATGGTAGAGATAGGTAACAGGCGCTTAGGGTCATTGACAAGCTCTGCAGCGATCGCCTTTAATCTGTCGGGAGCACAGTTTACAAAATCTGGCGCAGGTCTCCATCTCACCCACGGTCTTGTTCAAAAGCAAGGACTCACCCTCGTCTCCCAGCTGCTCTTTAATTTTATCGAAATCAGAACCGCCCACAACTCCAATTTTCACCTTTTCCCTTAAATGTTGTATATATTCATCCATCTCCGAAGTGATTTTCTAAAAGGTGACATTAGGGGAAGGAAACAGCACGGTGTAAAATCAGTAGAAGATGCCGCATAAAAAGGCCACAATTCCCGAACTAAATAAATAGCCATTTTACAGACATGTATCTTTAAATGGCAAGCTCCATGGAGCAAGGCTTAAAACAAATGCGGTTCAAAACATGCACTGGAGAGTAGAGTGGGCATTTGGGGTAATTCATTTCAGAACAGTTCCTTTATGGTTTAAATATTTTTATTAGTCTTGTTTCTAAAGAGGGGGGGGAAGAGGTTATTTCTCGGACGATACCCGTGGTTTTATTAAACAGAAAGCATCCATCATGAGGAATTCCAAATGAATGATTCTAATCCCGTTCACAGACCGATCCCGGGATCCACTCCCCCGTTCACAGACCG